GGGCCGGCGTCGGCGCTCCGGCGAAGTCGGGTCAAGGGTTTTGGGAGGGGAGAGGGGAAGGAAATCGAAGAAATGGGGAATAAGTTCACCGTACGTCCCTCAACTTAACAACTAGTATTTTTTTTGGAATAAGTCCACTTTGGCTCCCTTAAAAATGACCCGAATCTAATCCATGACCCTAAACCGCAAAACCGGATATCTCGACCCCCGAACTATCGAAACCGGTGCAATTTGACTCCCTTGGCGGTTTTGGAGGGTGGTTTCGGTGACGTGGCGCTGACGTGGCGGTGTTGACTTAGTCTGTGGGGTTGACATGGCGCTTAGGTGTCATTTGAATTAAAAACGGATATGTGGGACCCGTTTGTCATTCACACATTAAAAAACATGGGGCCCACTGACATGTGGGACCCGTTCTTCTTCCTCCCTTCTCTCTTTGTTTCTCTCTCTCCTCTTTGGCCGGCCAGGCCGCCGGGGGAGCACGAGCTGGAGCGGCGGCGGGTGGGGGCCAGAGCGGCGGAAGCTGAAGCGGCGGCGGCGGTGGGAGTGGTGGCGGATGGCGCTCGCCCTGCAGGCCGACTGCTTCACCAGCGACCTGAGCTAGCTCATCGCCGACATGATGTCCGGGTCGGTGCCGCTTGACGCAACACGCAAGCACAAGTATCCCTGGGAGGGTGGCCATCTTGGGTGTGTTCAAGCGAGACAAAATTAATTGCTCCCCCCTGCCTACTCATCCTATTCTTCAGTGGATGGTGAACGACCTGCTAACGGTCAATTTTATCTCTGGTTAGTTGCTAAATGAATCAATTTTATTTCTAGATTTTTGTGATGCTTGTGGCCTTAGCAGCACTAGTTGAAGGAGACGTAACGGGGGATGAGTTGGTGGCGATGATGGGGCTGGCGCGGGAGTTGACGGCCACGCAGCGAGCTCGAGCAATGACTTGACGACGTCGTCGTTGCAATGCTGAATGGCGTAGCTCGATGGCGGCCCTCGCCCCTAACTAGCTTGACAGGTTCGATGTCGGCCGTGTCGTCAGCTTGTCGCATACGCCGGATGCCCGGATCTTGTTGTTGCAATCGGCGGAGAGGCCAGAGCGCCGGATATTGTTATCACGGACGGCGAGAGGCGGCGGAGGGAGCAGGGAGCTCGTTCCCCGGTGAGGGCGCCATGACGGTGGAGGTGAGGACTGGGGTTAGGGCGCTTAGGTGCCGTGCCGTCGACCGCCGCCCCCCCGCTCGATGTCGTCGGCATCGGCGTCGGCGCTGCCGTCCTTTCCCGCCTCCTTGCCGGTCATCGAGCTGCCCGTTGCCGCTCTGGAACCCGCCGTCAGCTCTAGCCCGCCGCCGCTGCTTCAGCTTCCGCCGACCACCACCACTCTAGCCCCCGCCGCTCTAGCCGTGCTCCAGTCCCCGCGGCTGGCCGAAGGGGAGAGAAAGAGAAAGAAAGAGAGAACGGAGGAAGAGGGGAGGAAGAATAAAGAGAGAGATGATGACATGTGGACCCCACATTTTTTTTATGTGTGTGAATGCCAAACGGGTCCTACATATGTGTTTTTAATTCAAATGCCATCTAAGTGCCACGTCAACCCTATAGACTATGTCAACACCGCCACGTCAGCGCCACGTCACCAAAACCGCCCTCTAAAACCACCAAGGGAGTCAAATTGCACCGGTTTCAATAATTTGGGGGTCGACATACCCAGTTTTACGGTTTAGGGTCATGGATTAGATTCGTGTCACTTTTAAGGGAGTCAAAGTGGACTTATTCCTTTTTTTTTTAGATTCCTTAACCACAAATTTAGAAATATGTACCCTAAACTCACACAAACCGTGCACTCAACGTCCTATGATATAATATATAGGTGGTTTCACTTACATGGCATCCTAGTCAGGAAAAAAAAGTGCGTGAGACCTACATGTCAGTTGCACTTTTTTTTTCTCTTCTCTCGTACTTCTCATCTCTATTCTCTTCTTCAGTGAGGGAGGCTGGCGGCGGACGAGAATTCACAAGCCACACAAGCTGCTGTCTGGTCCATGGATCACAACTTGAACGAGTTGTTTGAGCTTCCCATGGATTTGAGGTCCTTGTACGGCCCCGACGAGGTGAGCTCCTGCTCCATCCCCGCTGGGTAGCCGGCACACCGCCGCCACCGCTGCTGCCTTCTCTGCCGCAACCGATGACCCCACCTAAGCTCCGGAGGCCAGACTCGCAAGGATCAGCGACAGCGCTGCTGTCACGGCCTTCACGCCGAGCGACATGCCCGGCTGCGTCGAGCTCCGCGGCCTCCTGACCTCTCGCATATCTGATTTTGCGGTTCGATGACGTTTTTTATCTCACTGACAAGTTGAGAGACCTTCAGTGTACTTTTTCCTAATTTTGCTAAGGCTATGTTCGTATGGGGTGGATGGGAACTTATTCCCTCCGCATGGAAAACGGAACGGTCTATTAGCGCGTTATTAATTAAGTATTGGCTAATTGTTTTTTAAAAAATAGATTAATTTGATTTTTTTAAGCAACTTTCGTATAGAAACTTTTTGTAAAAAACACACTGTTTAGCTGTTTGAAAAGCGTGCGCGCGGAAAACGAGGGAGATGGGTTGGGAAAAAGGAGTTACAAACACAGCCTAAGCCTAGCTGCGGTAGCAGCGGATCTGTAAGGCCCATCTAGCCCAATCAAATATAGCCCGCACGTGAACCACAATCCCGTTCCGGCCCAATTTATATGCGACTTATGGGTGGCTCATATAAAACCTCGAAATCAACTCCAAAATTACCAAAATTAAGTTTTAAGATTTAAATTTTGGCATCAGCATTATATAATATACACGTTATGTAGTAAAAGACGTGGCACGTACGCAAAATGCTGTTTATCTCAGACTTCACTGTAAAATCGCCAATGACACCAGTATATCACAGACATGCACAAATTATGCGTACATTCTAATTTTCTAAAGCACCCTCTATTAATTGCGATAATAAGGAAGTTGCAACGCTTCAAGGCAGAGCGAAAGCGAGGCGGCAAAATGAACTGGCAATATAACCGTACTGAACAGGTCGTCTTAGTTATTAGCCGTACTGAACAGGTCGTCTTAGTTATTCTTCTGCAGATGTCACAGTTAAAAGCGATGTGGCACAGGCATATATCTAAGTTTGAAATACGGATCTATGAATACAAGAAAATGCCATCAATAGAGCAAACTCGATGGTCGACGGATGGTAGAAACACCAGGAAGAGGAAGATGCGGATACGACGGTAAATTTTCCTCACTCCGAAAGCGTGGACTTCAGCTCTCCACTCTTCTCCAGCTCAAGAACGATGTCACAGCCTCCAATCAGTTCTGATTTGTAGTACAGCTGAGGGAACGTGGGCCAGTTGGAGTACGTCTTCAAGCCTTGCCTAACCTCCTCGTCGGATAGGATGTCGAACGCTCCGAAGCTGACTCCTGCTTGCTTCAGTGCATTCACAACCTTCGAACTGAAGCCGCAGCGGGGGGCATCTGGGGTGCCCTTCATGAAGAGCATCACTGGGGCAGAGGAAATCAGGGCCTTCAGGCGGTCTTCTAGACTTTCTTTCGCAACGATCCCTTTCTCAGATAGAACCTTCTTAAGCTCCCCACTCTTATGCATCTCCATAACAATGTCTGATCCGCCAACCAGTTCACCGTTTATGTACAGTTGAGGGTAACTAGGCCAGTTTGAGAGAAGCTTTAGACCCTGCCTAACCTCATCATCCGTAAGAATGTCAAAACTTGAGAAAGGGATCTTCTCTTGCTTAAGAATATGCACTAGTTTTCCACTGAATCCACACTTGGGCTCCTCAGGTGTACCTTTTATAAATGCCATCACTGTGCTGAAATTAACAAGGCTTTCCAAGCGTTCCTTCTGAGCTGCAGTAAGCAAAGCTGGTTCAGAAACTGCACCACTCTTCTCAGTATCAGGCTTGGCTTTCACTGCCTCCTCGTTTTTGCTTCCCTGTGGCTGCAGCGGAATGTTGTGCTCCTTAAAAACATCCTTCAGTTCACCGCTTTCATGCATAGCAATCACAATATCACATCCACCAAGCAGCTCACCTTTGCAGTAGAGCTGAGGAAAAGTCGGCCAGTTTGAGAACTTTTTCATTCCTTCACGTACATCGTTATCTGTTAGGATGTCAAAGCTCCCAAATTCAACTCCTTCCTGCTTCAAAACGTCAACTACTTTTCGACTGAAACCACACCTTGGTTGCTCAGGGGTTCCCTTCATAAATAAGAAGACGGGATGGGAATTGACAAGCTGCTCCAATCTCTTGTTCAATGCATCTTCTGCACTACTAGTGGCAGAAGCTCCATTTTGCTGTGCCATCTCTTGAACCTTTTCAAGTACAGCAGGCCCAGCAGCCACACCCAGGCTAGCAGGCACAGCAGACTCAGCAACGCTGGCAGGCCCAGCTAACTTTGCAACCTTATTGGCCAAGCTGGCTGGATTTGCACCCTCCAGAGTATCAACAGTTTTACCTTCCTGCAAACCCCAAAAAAACAAAGACACAAAGATGACAACCTCTTTAAGTAAAAAGCATCATACTGATATTTCAAATAATTTGCTAACAAATATTCAGCAATATACTAAAGGACCTATGCATGCAAGCTTTAATAGTAATAATCATATGATCAGGTGCATTGGTTCAAGAGCACAATTCACAGCTCATACTGATTGTAAGTCCATGAATTGAGAGAGACTGTGTGTTACACCATCAGACAACACACCTCATCAGATGTCATAAGATACATTCATAAGGAGTCTTTAGTGCAGACAGTTATGGTGCACTAAATTACACAACAAGGTAGAATCTTTACTGCACCTCTAAAAAATGGTAACTTCACTGTAGGCAGCTAATGTCAGTGGAGACAATCCAAACTCATTACTTCAGGGTATATGAGCAAGCAAATCTGATCACTATTTTGTGGAATAAAAAAATTATTGCACCTCTCATCTTGTTGGAAGAATACAAGCTACTTATTCAGCATTATAGCCATACTAGCATTATACAAGGCTAGAACTCATCCGCATCAAGTTAGTAAGGAAGAGTATCATGATCCTACCAGAAGTTATTATGCAAAAATATATAACTATGTGAAATGGTTCGTGTCAGAACAAATTATATAAAGGCAGTTGCGAATACCTTCAAGAAAACAAAATATGGCACTGCTGTAACTCCATATGCCTCTGAAATTTCGGGTTGTTCCTCAGCTTCAACCTGACAAAAGTTACTAGTGTATGAGAAAACAAACAAGCAAATGATATAGAAGTCAAATTCTACAATATAATACAGTGATTAACAATTACTAGAGAGACTAATAGGAATATAAGTAATGCCCAAAGAAAAATAGTCACAAAGAAGAGCTACTGAATTATAACAGTATTTATTATATAACACTCAGTTTGATGGTATCACTCAATGAAACTACAGAATAATCCAGTAGCAAAACGAATCATAATTATGTAAGGGACTGGAAATATTTATATTTTGTCTCATACTCTTGAGTCTTGACAGATTTCAGAGTCCACTGAGAACTCAAAAGGTTGCAGGACATATTCTAGCGCTAAGAGTATGGTTCCTAGCACAATAGCAACTAGTCAGACATGCAGTAAGCTACAACCCAAGGTGGAATAAACAGTGAATCGGTGCTAAGCAGGAAAATGATCAGCGCTTAAGGATGTTACACAACTACCTCTTCAGGAGTTGCATTCAACCAGTAAGTCAAACTGGATAAACAAGTTGGATGGGCAATCAAAGAATTGTACGCTAAGCAGGAAAATGGTCAGCGCTTAAGGATGTTACACAACTACCTCTTTAGTTAGTTGCAGTAAGTCAAACTGGCTCTTTAGTTAGTTGCAGTAAGTCAAACTGGATAAACAAGTTGGATCGGCAATCAAAGAAGAAGAATTGTACTTGATAGTTGATACATCCCTACACAATACTATGAAGTAAAAGAAACAACACCACAGTTACAAATCAAACACAGAAGTAGAGCAGCTTCAATAGCATTTATCCTACACAGAACATCGAAGAAATAATCACTATCAATAATTTATATACTATGGGCTCTATATTATGGCAGAACTCCAGGCAGCCAGGTTAGTATCAACCTCTCAAAAACATATACCTACTTCCCAGATATATAAAAGCAAACTAATTCCAAATCTACTCATGATTCTTGAAACAAGATTCACAATTCATCATCCGAAAAACATCTCATATGAATCTACTAAAACAAATGGTAGGAAATACAGTATGTGAAGCCACCAGCAAGCAAGTCACTGTAACCTTCCACCAAAATCCTTACCACACCATAACCCTAAGCGAACTAAACAGCTCAAATCTACCGCGATCGGGGAGGACACCAGCAGTGGCACGAGCGCACGCACGTACCCGGAGGAAGACGGCGTGGGAGAAGTCGACGGCGAGGTGCGCGAAGACCTCGTCCATCTGCTTGGACGCCTCGCACCACGCCGCCCAGAAGTGCACCGCGGCGGCCCGCGCCCCTCCCGCCGCCGCCTCCAGCTCCGCCTTCGACCCCACCTCCCTCACCGCCGCCATCACGCCCTCCCCCCTCCCCTCCCTTCCCTCACCGGCGACGACGAGAGATGCAGCAGCAGGCGGCGGCGGCGGAGGAGAGATGAGAAGACGACTCGCGGCGGGGGGGCTTGCGGCTTGGGGTTTTCCTCTGCTTTCCTTTTTTTTTTTCGGTTTTTTTTCTTCTTCTTTTTTACCTCCCGTGACGAGGTGCGAAGGCGACGGAAGATTCCAGAAGGGGCGGGCGGGGCGGCGGGTGGGCCGGAAAGTCTCCTGGTATTTGGGCCGCTTCGGGCCCACTCGTTAGGCGAGTTGGACTTTTTTTTTTTTCTTTTCTGAGCGAGACGCGGTGGTGGGGTCTCGGCGCCGCCGGGAGCGCGGCTGCGGGTCGGGGGAGTGAGGCTATAAAAGGGGTGAAAAAAGGGGAGGGGTTCACCTGATGGGGAAATGGACTCGCATGGCCAGAAACCCTAGCCTCCATCCCCTCCCGAGCCTTCGCCGCCGCAAGTAGATCTGAGACTCTCTGTTTTTTTTCCCCTTTTGTATCTGAATCTCTCTGAGCAATCCAGCAGGATCAGATCTGTAAGGCGTAGGAGTAGTGATCTGAAATCCGTCAGCAGTAGTTGATACATCTGGGTTTTTTTGGTTATTGTTGTTTTTTATGTGATTTTTGTGGTTTGTGTGTGAGTTGGGTGAATCAAGTGGATCGATGATGCTTTTCAAGAAATACTGCGTTATCTTCCTGATTACATGTGAGGCTGTTGCTATCATGGCCATGGCCTCCTGATGACACAATTATCTTGCTGAGATCCAAGTTGCGGTAACTTTGCCCTCTTCTTTTTTTCTTCTCTTCTGAATTTTTTCATGGTTTTTGGGAGAGATTTTCGTTACTTGATTACAGTTCTAGGAAAAGGCCACCTTGTTCAAACAGGGCTTTCTTGAAAGGGATCAATTTGCTAGGAGTACATGATTCTAAAAGCGATTTCGAAATAAAACACAGTTCTCGATCTCATACCTGAAAACAAAAGGCCCATACTGTGTAAACTGTGATTATGCTTCTGTTAAAATGGGATATTTGTACAAAATTGACGCCAATCACCTATAAACAGATTGTGAGCTTTTATCTTAGTAAAATAAAATGTGACATTCTACTCAGTGTTCAGTGATCCGATGTCGTCTCTTCTGCGTACAACTTCTAACAGCCGTTTTCGGTAGTACAAACTAGCGAAACACCAAAAACGCAGCATTTGAGTTCTGGAATACGCTGAAATTGTTAGAATCAACCACGAAACCAAAATCATTGTTCAGAAACGTTGCAACGAGATAAAACACAAGAACTTGTTTTAACAAAGCATACGGACAGTACATATACGGTTACAACACCCAGTCTTTATACAGTTCTGCTGGAGTTCCATCTACTGGCTGTCATTGTATCTCAGGACAGACAGGTTAACATAGGTACAACGCAATTACAGGCTAAACCGAAGCGAACTACACTGTCAGCATCTCTAACAGTATCGTCAAGCAAGCTTATTTACAGCTGCTCTAGTAAATTTACAACGTCCCTGGCAGAATCCCTCTCGTTTCTGGCAGCGACGAGGCACGGTCCATGGCCTTAGCAGGACATCTCACCCGTCAGCTGCATAGAAAGCAACCGACTTCAGTGGAATCACCTGCTCCTGCAAAAAAGTTGGTTCGATCAATCACGCGTTTAATCCAAAACAAAATGGGTATTAATTATGCTAGCCTATGAAGCTACCTCAGAGTTCTCTATTTGCTCTGCAGGGAAATGAAGTCCAGTGGAACAGTTCTCAAGCACCTCAGGGCTCTTCATCCATGCTTTGTGTGCTTCAATGGCTTTCAGCTTATAGCGAAACATCTGCGATACGGATCTAAAATTAAGGATGTCGACAATTACTTAACACAACAAATAATTGAAGCAGGTCCAGTTAAAGAAAAGTAGCAGCGAAGAATAGCACTCTGAAGTCTGAACCTCAGATAAAGAAATGGTTGGTTTTTCCAGTTCATCTCCCTCAACATGGATTCCAGTACCCTGGCATTCTGGGCAAAGGATGGATGTTATTTTCTTAGGTGCATTTTTTGCCTTTCTTCCTCGATTGCTTTTTCCCTTGCTTGCAATTTTGTCTGCTAGCATCTCATATTGGCATAAAATAGTCCAGTGCACAAGGCAAGAAGTGTGAAACAAATGAAATGCCTGCAAAATTAGCCGTACAAAGTCATTGGAGGTTGCAGCAGAATACTACAAATTTTTAAAGAAGAAACTATACACTGTCTATGTTTTGCTTGAAATGAATTCAACCACTTTGCATTATACGGTTTGGAATCCCTGGTTTGTGAGAACTGTAATTCCATTACAACAGTGAAGAAGTTACCATAACTAATGAATGGAAATTAGTCAAATGCCTAATTTTTTAGGTTTGCTTTAATTTATTTATCTGTGAGAAATGCTAAGCATGTCATGCGTTGCTATCTTCAAGAAATACTAAGAAACTGCAAAGGCAAAGAATGTTTGAAATAACTTACCCCGCTTGAGTTTCTACTGCTGCAGGCTAGATTTCCTGTCTTGCAGTTGAGCAAGGTAGCTACATCCTTTTCAAGAAGCATTGGTCGCCCACAAATATCACAAGCTTTCTCAGCAGCAAGGCGCTTCTGCTTACGCAACTCCCTCCTCATAGATTTGGTGGATAAGAGGCCAACTTGAAGATTGTGTGAAGTACCTGTCGGGGAACCTGTTATGATAGCTTGGCTATTGTCATGGGCGGAGCTGCTTTGCTCATTCGACTCCTCTGAAGATGCTTCTTGATCTGAAAATGACTTCTTTCTTCTCTTTCCACGGTGTCCAGCATCATCAATCACGAAGAAAGATCCAGCAGAGATAGGAAGGTCCTGATCATCAGAAGACCACTTCCTGCCCAACTCAATTGTATAAGAGAAGTTGACAATGGCAAAGTCAGATTGCTCATAGGTGTCACACTCATCCAAGCCATGGGAGCCATCCTGTCCTACCCAAGCACACCAGATCTTGCTAATCTTTTTACTTCCTTTGCTAGCTTCCCATAACCTGTATGCAATATTTCCATATCCCAAAAGATGCACAGGCAAATCCGAAACAACATCCTTTAGCAATACACTAGGAATAACGAGAGGACCGTCAGTTCCACTTTGGTTTGACAGCACATGATCTTCAGATACAGAAGCAGTTCTACCATTACCATGCGCATTTGCACCACGGCGTGTGCCTTTTGCGCCATTGCGAGAGCTAGAATCATCTCTCAACCTCGAAGTCACTTCAGTGTCGTTGGCTGGAACCAGAGCCAGCTCTCTGGTGTTCTGCGAGCTCGAGTCCAGCAAGAGCGGGTCCTTCTCGCGCGAGTTGTTGAAGAAGAGCACGCCGTCGTTGAACGGCCATGGCATGGGCCCGAACAGCGTGACCTTAGCCTCCGCGTAGCGCCGGGAGTGCAGGTTCCCCTTCAGGTGATCAAACAGCACGGTGTCGCTGAAGCACTCGGTGAGGCAGATGGTGCAGAAGAAGATGACGCGCTTGCCGACACGGCGGAGCTCAACGTAGGTGTGCCCATTCTGCCGGACCTCCCTCAGCGTCGCCTTGGCGGCAATCTCGCGGATGTCCACGGGGCCGTTCTTTCTCACCACCAATTCCTTCCCCACCATGGAGAAACCCCCTCAATTCACCACCGAAGCTCCTCCTTTTTCCGCTATTACAGATCCCTACTCAAATTTCCCACCAAAAAAATAATAATCCCCCAAATTTGCTTTCAAACCAAACTGCTTGCTGTTAGCACTGCACCACGCATCAAAAAAAAAAAGAGGAAGAAATTCCAGCGTTAATTGGAGGGAAATTTACTCAACCTAAATTCGAACGGATCCCTAATCTACACCCCCACCGCTGGGGCTGCCACCACCACGCCGGGGGGGTCACGATGCGGAGCGGGGAGGGAAGAGAGAGACGGCTAACGAATACCTTCAATTCGAGCCGGGAGGCGACGGGGGGCGTCGGGAGGGGCGCGGCCGCGTCGTCGCTCCGAGCGTTCTCTCGCCGCCGGCCATGCGCGCGAGGAGGGGGAGGTCGGGAAGAGGAAGAGGAGGAGGAGGAAGAGGAGGAGGCCACCCTCGGCGCGCCTCCGGGAGTGCTCGCCGGGGCGCGGGCGCGCGTGGGGTGGGGTGGGGAGGCGGCGGGAGATGGTCGGCGGTGGCTTCGCCGGGGAGAGGAGAGGAGAGGAGAGGAGAGAGGAGATGCGTGGAGAGAAGGGAAGGTGAGATGAAGGTGAATGGTATGGGCGGGCGGCTTTGGTCCGTCGTTAACTTTTTTTTTTCTCTGTGGACTCCGCGGGGACAATGTTGCGTGGGAATTGGGATTAGTGAGTTCGAAAGATGAGTTTTTGGTAATCGAATTAAGGGACACATATGATTTTGATAGAAATATAAGCGTAAAATAGATTATTGTAAAATATAGGAAAAACCGTTTGATTGAACCGCAGGAAAAACACAGAAATTGGATGAGAGAGATAGACTCAAAGGAAATTAACCAAGAGGTTGAAGCTCTTGCTAAATTTCCTCTAAAATCTCTATAGGATTGTCCATTCCATAGGAATTTTAAAGGATAGAAAATTTTTTTATAGGATTGAAATCCCCTAAAATTCCTATATTTTTCTTCCAATTCAAAGAGCCCTAAGAATAAAAATCGAGGAGGAAAAGGATAAACTTCTTGAAACAGTCAGTAAACTACTACTACTATGCAGCAGGATATCCCGTATGTTGTTACATATGACCATGTAAAGATAAATAGTTTTGAGAAAAGATGCAAAGCTAAATACTCTCTTCGTTTTATATTGTAAGTCGTTTGACTTTTTTTCTAGTCAAATTTATTCAAATTTGATCAAGTTTATAAAATGTCGACGTTTGATACCACGATTTCGGTATTTGCATAGTATGGGGATCGTTGGTACTAGGATATATGCGAGATTGTAATATAAAATATGGGGACGAGGATTTTTATATAGGTTCGGGCCCCTAAATTGTGAAGCCCGGTCGTTGCTCTTATTCACCATAATCACATCAGTCCAATATTTGGGGTAGCCTATCTATCTGTTGTCGACTTGGTGGTCTGAAGTGCTGACTCATAGTTGACAATAGGGTAGCCTTCCTTCTCGAATCCGCATCCGGCGAGATCAAAGACAGCGCTATGTCTCTCCTGACAGTATCCGTAGACACCGTATGGGACAAGCCATGCTTATCTCTGAAGTCAATATCTGGCGTCTTGTCTTGGCGTATGTTGGCTTGTATGTTGATCTTGTGTCTTGATCTATTGTTCCGTGTCCCCTCTCCTCCTAGGGGGTCTTGTATTTATACCCATAGGTGTCCTCTTGTCCAAGTAGAACTAGGAAAACCAATATGGATACAATTCGAGTAGTCCTTGTCATTTCCATATAGAACCCTATTCATCCTTCCTTATGCGGAACTCCTCCTATATCCGAAGGTTATTTCCGTATAAGACATGATATGTGGTGAGTCCTGCCGAGATCTAGTCAACTACTATTAGGTATGTGGTATTCATAATCCTGACATAAAAATTTTTTAGCAACATATAAAATATCAAATTATTTTTATTAAATCTAACATTGAATATATTTTGATAATATATTTGTTTTATGTTAAAAATACTACTATATTTTTCTATAAATTTAGTCAATTTGAAGAAGTTAGTCTTAAAAAAAAAAGTCGGACGGCTTATAACATGACTGAGGAAACTTAAAGACTTCTATACTTGTTACATGATGATTGGGGAGATAATAGTTTTTCAATTAAAAATTAATAAAGGTAAGAGAACACCTTGTAATTAGTTAATGCTTTCGTTATTTCCTGAATTTTATGAGCTATCTATTGGGTGAACCATGTAACAAGTGGTTATGGCCTTTCTGAAGCAAAAGCCGGACTTTTTTATTATCTAAAATAAATACAACGAAGAAATGAATGTTACTCCACATGAGCAGAGACCTTCTAGCCCTCCAATGAACGATCTAACGATTTAAGATTTTTTAGGATGATGTAGTTTAATGCATACTGATCTTTTGACTTTACCTGTATATGATAGTGGGTCAAGTTGATATTCCTTTTTCTTAAATCGATCACGTATCGTTACTGTGCTATGATCATTTTAAAAAAATAGTTATTGTTTTGTGAAATTTACTCAAATATAGATTGCCATGTTTGGGTTTCTTATTGTTCATGCACACAACGTTTTCACACTCAGCAATGAGACACTTCACCGACAGGTGGCCCCAATACCTTACTTACATTACCTGATGCACCTAACTCATGCAGAAACTCTGATCATCATGCGCTACGTGAGAATCACTCCCACCCCTTCTTTTTGCAAATACTCGTTGGTTTTAATTATGGTTGACAATGTTTTGACCACAACAAATTTTAAATGATATAATAATGTTACATCAAAGTGGTATATTTAGATTCGTAATAAAATGTACTTTACTAGTAATACTGTATTTCTTTTTGGCGTTCGCAAAAAAAAAACTGTATATTTAGAGATCAACTTTTATATTATCTAAAAGAAATAAAGAATACAACTATAACTATACCCATACAATTGAAACAAATAAGGACTATATTTACCTTAAAATAAATTAATCAGTACGAAAGCGACCCTAACTTATTCGCCAACGGAACATTTCATGGCCATATAACCCAGTTCAATTCTGCGATGAACTCTCACGCGGATGCGAATATGCCACAGGGCTTCTGCCGCGACGCCGACCTCCGAATTGACACACGAGCCGCGCCGACACGACACCAACCAACCAAACAGAACAAAATAATAATAAGAATAATTGAGTGGAGAGCAGTGCAATGTCACGCAACAGATTTGTTTCGCACGATGTGACCCATTCACCACCGTGCGCTCGTGCGAGTCAACAACATGGCACAGTATTTGGGAGCAAAAATTGGGCACGGGCATATCCAGATTCCATAGCATAATTCAAGTGAAAATTATAGAGATCCAAAGGGCATATCCTAACCCAGTCCTTTAATCCTTCTGACACTAGGGGATTCCCCTTTGCTACGGGAATTACTAAGTAATTTTCAATATTATTTTTCGTTACAATTCAGCTAGGAGTAAAAAGAAAAAAAATAATCAAATCTCAGGGCTTATCAATTTTTTTTAATCATGAAAGCACTTTATATTAAATATTATAAAAATGATAGAGATAATTGTAAAACTATTGTGGAAATGATGTGAAAGGTAGCGATTGAATATGCTTGCATGTTAATTTATAGAACTAAATAGATTGTAGATGATCTTGCATGCTTGCACGAGGTTGAATATGTAATTATTGTTAGTGGGTGATAATGTGGCATGGTTGCATGTTAAGCTTTAAAGTTAGTGGGTTATAACTTTATAGAAAGTATAGATAGCTGTTGTATCTAGAGATAGCGAATCAAAAATATTACAGTAAAAGAAAGCAACCAAAAACAGGAGCCTAGTACTAGTACAAGAATTACTATGAGGCCTGGTTTAGTTTCCAATTTTTTTTCCCAAAAACATCACATCGCATCTTTGGACACATGTATATAGCATTAAATATAGATTAAAAAGAAACTAATTGCACAGTTAGAGGAAAAATCGCGAGACAAATCTTGTTGGTGATATGGGTCCGGGGGTATCATGTTTAGAGTTTGGAGGCTGCCCCCCAATGCCTCGTGGCCCTCCCCCAAGGGGAGTCAGGCCCGAGGTGGGGTGGCGGCCACTCTTTCCCAAAGATTAGTCGGAGGAGGCTGTCCCCCAATGCCTCGTGGCACTCCCCCAAGGGGAGTCAGGCCCGAGGTGGGGTGGCGGCCACTCTTTCCCAAAGACTAGTCAGAGGAGGCTGTCCCCCGATGCCACGTGGCCCTCCCCCGAGGGGGGGAGTCAGGCCCGAGGTAAGGTGGCGGCCACTCCTTCCCAGAGACTGGATGGAGGAGACTGCCCGCCGATGCCACGTGGCCCTCCCCCGAGGGGAGTCAGGCCCGAGGTGGGGCGGCGGCCACTCCCTTGCCGAGACTAGAGGGAGAAGGCTGCCCCAGGCGCCACGTAGCCCTCCCCCGAGGGGGGATCGGGCCCGAGGTTGGGCGGCGGCCGCCCGCTCCCGTGACTAGGGGTCGGGCTCCCCCGACCCCCTCTCTAGGTCACCATGTACGGTGGGTTAAGTGTCCGCCTCCAGGTACCCACCTACCCGCATTTATGGCGGCCCGAGCAGTCGCGCCACGCCGCATTTAATGCGGTGTGCAATGCACTCAACCGGTCTGTGACCGGTCGAATGACCGATGGGACTGGGGTAGTGCGCCTGTGCGCTGCTCGTGTGTCAGGCAACGTGCAGCCTGACATGTCCCATCAAATAATGATGGTGAGAGGTCCTCATCCTCTTATCCCAGCCGGAGTCGGTCCTCCCGCTTTGGTCAAAGCAAGGCTCCCATTTCCCGGTGTAATAGGAGCCCAGAAGTCTTCACCCATTAAATGGTGACTGACAGGGGCACCCCCGTGTCAGGCGGCAAGATTTGACAGGCCTCATCATCAAGATGACGTGCGCTTGCTTCCTAAGTCAAGAGACAAGACATGCATTTAATGCAAAGATTGTAATCCTTCTCCGCTAAGTTATGTTTTTGGGCCCATGTGGTAACCCCTTGATATATAAAAGGAGGACCTTGCCCGCCGGGAAATAGGACGACTCACAGAAAACCTGAACTCTAGGAGAAGAAGAGCGAGAGTGCTCTCCGGAGTTTAGGAACCCTTGTAACACTCAACCATAATTCCAAACACAGGAGTAGGGTATTACGTTTCTCAGCGGCCCGAACCTGTATAAACCCCTTTTGTCTTATCATTTTTAGGGGATTAAACCCCCTCAAGATCACACAGCTTCGCTCACCAAGCCCTCGAATCTCATCCGCTGCCCCCGGCCGAACTCACAAAGGGGGGCCTCACGGTTCCCTGATGGAGGGGTTCATTCTCCGATAAATCTTTTGAGTCTAATTAGTCCATGATTAGCCATAAATGTTACAGTAACCCATATGTACTAATGACGAATTAATTAGACTTAAAAGATTCGTCTCGTGGTTTCCAGGCTTCCAGGCGAGTTATGAAATTAGTTTTTTCATTATTTGTGTCAAAAAAAACTCTTCCAACATCCGATCAAACATCGGATGTGACACGTGAAAATTTTCTTTTTTCGAACTAAACATGCCCGGAGTTTCTCTCAGTCGTTGGAGCCCCCTGACTGGCAATCATTAACAGGTAACTGGACTTACTGTGACTGCCTTAAAATTAATTAAGGACTGGATCTCGTCTGGATCATTTTCATGTTAATGTTAGGTGGGGCACATGATCTCCAACCTGGAGACTAGCAAGCCAAAAATTTTGCTGATCATGTCACAACAAGCAAAACCAGAAACCGAGATTATAGTGTACATAACATGCGAAATACTACAATTTATTGAACCTGGGCTATGATCCGGGCAAGAGTAGATGACTATCAGGCAGGAAGGCATGTGGAACCGTGTCGAATGAGTAACAGAAGAAATGCAGAGCATTGCAGAATGGCAAGCCCTTGAAAAATGCTTATGCATTCTCCACACCAGGCGCAACGTCCTCATCAGGCACAGCGTCGTCTGCATTCTCATCAGGCTCACCTGCCCTCCGATCTACAAAGTCGTAACCATATTCCTCCTCTGAAAGATTCACCTCCACAGATCTGCCATAAATGAATGGTCTTTGGCCCATTGTTGTGAAAGGCAATAGCCCCAATGCACGGGCGGTTTTAATCTCTCTTGCAACCTTACGCTGAGCTTTCGCACTTATACGAGTCTGAAAAGCAGATCAATAAGTTAGAAACCATGGCAAAGCATTTATATAAATACATAATTACGTGTGCATTTGTGAAACAGACTCATACAGCAAAACATGAAGGTATACCCTAAAAAGAACTAAACAAGATACCACAAAAGACACTACGCTGAGAGTTGCCGAGGAGAGATGGTGCTACGTGGCACCTTAATTATGATATTGTGTTACTTTAGAACTAAGCACTGAAAAGACCACGTCCAACAAGAATCAACAAAGATATCTCATTAACAGCATCATCAGCAATGCATGAACTATACAAACAAGACAATATTTATGTCTAGTGATCAAAAGTTACATTTAGAATATTGGAAACCTTTGAGTCCCTGTGCATGCATTGAATAAAAGTTGCTATCTGAACTCTGGCAATCCTTTCTTATAGAGACCATTCTACTCTGAAAATATCAATTTGAAAGCTATCTAAAATAGCATGATGAATTATTACCATACATCAGGAGTGTCATTACCCAAATTTCTATTCACAGAAAGGGGAAAAGTTCCTTATTACCTGACTCCTCTTGATTATAATGCCAGCTTCTGTAAGAAAGTTGGCCAGAAATCTAACATTCTGCAAGGAACAACCAAGTAATCAAAAACTGCAGCTATTAATATACAGGCAAGATCATTGTTTGTTATTGTATCATTCAAATGTAAAACTATGTTTGTTTTTTCTGCATTCTGAATTGTACATTTTCAACCATGCACACTCGTTTTACACGTTGAAACTTGAAATACATGCCTACATACATCCCAATGATTTCGACTTTGATAGTTACCGTGTTCCAGTATTTGCATCCAAATGTCATCTTAGAATAATGTGAGGCAATAATTCAAATAAGTAGGTTAACAAGCAACATATCAACCCACTACAGTAAACTATTTTAGTTATTGTTAAAATTCAAACACAACAGCGGTAAATAAAATACCAGAATCTCAAATGTTATAACTTCTAGGATAGAAAGTAGATCACATGCTATCATCATCTAAGTTATGACTTCCTCAAATGACATACCGTTCTTGAAATTAGTCACAGCATACCACCATTATGTGTTACTGAAATTCATGCTGGTTAACTGGCTAAACACTCTATAGTTTACAAGAATACAAGGTGACAAAGTAATGCAAAACCTATAATTCCATTAAAAGCTAAAAAATAAACTGCAGACTATTTACACAGTTTGTCAGGCAGATGTACAAACCCTAAAATCGGCTTTCTTTAAAACCTCCTCTGTAGTTGTTTGAAACTGTGGCCTAGGAGGGTTCTTTGCGGCTGCAGGTCTTGTAAGGTCAAGATCCTGCATGCAGTAGAGTGTGATAAACATGCTGTTAGAAGACTCATTCCACTACAGTATGTCCATGGAATGAGCAAACAGATATAAAAAGGTAAACTAAAATTAATACTAAGAGTCACATTTTCTAAGTTTTCAATTGTTTAGGCATTAGTGTATCATAATAGGAATTTCTCTGTTTTGACAAGCATGTATCCAGCAAAAGATGTAAATTTGTGTGTACATATACAACACATCACAACCTGTTCTAGCTCACAAATTTACCGCTGAGTTCCAGAATACTTATTCAGGATAAATGTAATCCTAAATAGTGCACAAGGCATGTGCTCTTTGTATACTTCAACAATGATGTGAAAAACAGAAATCCCTCTTACCTTGACATTATAAGTTGAGCCTCGCCTGAAAGTCACATCTGGCCTGTAATCATAGTCATCGTCCTCATACTCCTCCGTCACATGAAAGGTGCGGGACGCCTCATCCAACTTCTCATCCAAACCATCTTCTAAGGAATCGAAGCCCGTGCACAATTCAGCCAAGATGCTGCTAGAGTTACCCCTGTTACGGAACCCACCCCTCCAACCCCAGTCAGATCCTCCACGGCGATTCTCAAGCCCATCATCCAAGCCACTCAGCATCCTCTTCTCAAATTCTTCCACGCTCTCTCCCACCCCTGCGCCGGATAAGCCAACCAAAACAAGCATAAGAACACTAGTACTATTGGGACATCTTTTTTAGGCATCAACTCCTCAAACAATCACTAGTACTGTCATCGCAATTGGGATTTTGCACGCGAAAGCTCTACATCAACAGCCTCATCTTTTCGCTTATGCATATGCATATCCGAATCGCTTATTGTCAACAAAAACATAATTTATGAGTACAACTTTTATATATGTGTTCTTAGCTATTCAAAAGCAAATGCTATAAAAAAACTACAACGAAAAAAAACACAAAATCAACTCTAAAATTAAATTTAAAAATTAAAAATTGGCTTATAAGCAGCATATGTGGCTGCAAATCTGCGTTAAACCTACATCTCCAGCCACTCGATTCAACCCGATGGATAACTACAACGAAAAATGGCGAAGGTGTGGGCAAGCACGAACAACTCCATCCAGGTCAGGATTCGACACAACTTATATTAGGGAATATCGCATGGAGGGATCCGTTCGAGAGGAATTCTCGATCAGGAGGAGGAGGCGGCAGGGGGGGGGGGGGTTCTCACCGTCACCGCCACCGGACAGGAAGGAGCGGCGGAAGGTCGCGGCGGCGGCGGCGGAGGCGGGGGACGGGGGAGGGGGGCTCGAAGGGAGGAGGCGTCGGAGGGATCGCCTCAGCGCCGAGCTCGCCATCTCGCCGCGAGGTGGTGCGCCGCGCCGCCACCCGAGACACCAGCGAGAGGAGGAGGAGGAGGAGGTGGGGACTGGGGAGCGGGTGATTTAGGGGTTTGGGATCTTTTGCGTTTGGGACCCTGGAGAATCTCCTTATTTTGTGCGGTTTTGAGTTGCTGGTTTTTTTTTTTTGAAGTATTGAGTTGCTGGTTCTGCTTGTACTTGTTCGCGCTCCTCCCTCTCCGGTCACATTACGAGGTTCATCGCTTAGTCTAATAAATTAAAATTTATAATTTAAAATTTTGAAAAGTTGATTTTTAAGATATTTTTAACGGTAGCGTTGGCTTTTAAGTCGCTATAAACAAATATATGAAACTTTTACCTATAAATTAGTTTTTATTCCCTAATAAACCGTTTTGGTTTATTAGAAAATATGAGCAACCAATAAGACTCTTTTTTCCTTTATTTTCCTAGCAGACTCATCATTTTGCTCACCTGCTCTGTGTTGAATAATGAATTTTTTACTGATATCAATTTTGTTTACAAAATATCTTCAAATTATAAATCATGTAAATTTAATCCATTTGTTAAAGAAAATATTCCCTCCAATCTTTAATATCTGTTGTTAGGATAAACAACTTTTGTATAAATAGATAGTTCATGTGTTTATCAAAGCGTCATATATCAATGACCAGAGGTACAACATTTGATTTTGGGAGAACTAAAATCAGTTCTCCGAAGATCGCATAAATTTTATAAACGGAATATCATGTTTCCATTTCCTCTATGCAATTGTAACAATATGACACAAACGTACAATAATAATTTCATTGTGATAAACTAAATAACCAATTCGTATACGAATGGTTACATGCAAATTACTACTACCTCCATTCCAAAATACTTGTCGTTTTGAGTTTTTTTCATAACGTTCGATCATTCGCCTTATTTATAAAATTATAAAATTATTATTTATTTTGTTTGTGACTTGTTTTATTATAAAAAGTACTTTAAGTATAATTTATTTTTTTTATATTTACACTAATTTTTTAAATAAAACGAATGATCCAGTGTTACATGAAAAAATGTCAAAACGGGGTAGTAGCAAATTACGCCCAAACAAATTGGCGAGAGCCGAGAAGAACAAAAGTGGGTTCCTTTGATCCTTCAAACCCAAAACCGAAGAAGCGCGGGGTGCAAAACGCAAAACAAGCTCGCTCCTGCGTTCTCCATCGAAGCATCATGGCGGCGGCGGCGGCGGCGGCGACGGCAGCGAGGATACTCGAGCTGGACCCCGCGCACCCGCGCGCCGGCCGCGTCATCGACGACATCGTGCGTACGGAGAAGCGGATCTTCCCGAAGCACGAGTCCCTGGCGCGGACCTTCCACGACGAGCTCAAGCGCCGGAACACCACCCTGATCTACTCAGCCGCGGCCGCCACCATCCCCACCACTGGAGACGCCGCCGCCGCCTCCGACGAGGAGGAGGAGGTCGTCGGGTACGCCATGTACACGTGCGCCACCTCCCTCTGCGCCTCCATCACCAAGCTCGCCGGTGCGGCACACAACAACAAACACTCCTCTCCCCCCTAAACCCTCTCAATCTCTTGGGGGCTGATTCCGTGGCTGTGGTTGCTGATGCAGTGAAGGAGAGCCGGAGGAGGCAGGGCCACGGCGAGGCGCTGCTGATGGCCGCCGTCGAGGGCTGCCGGAGGAGGCGGGTCCAGCGGGTGTCCCTCCACGTCGACCCGGCGAGGGCGGCGGCGGTGGCGCTCTACCGCAAGGCCGGGTTCCAGGTCGACGCCACCGTCGTCGGCTACTACGCTCCACGCAGGGATGCGTACCGGATGTACATGGATCTCTAGGAAACCAAACCAATCAGCATTTGAGCAAGAACAAAAAAAAAAAGGCTTGTGAATTGTTCAGGAAATGCAAATGGAGCAATATGTTCTTCGCCAATTGTGATAGGGAAATGCTACGGGACGGTATCCTGTTCGAACGGGATGCTATCTCTAAAGATCGCCTGATACCTGGTAAGTATCGGCCGATACCCCGTTTGGACGAGATGGTACCTTTGAGGTATTATCTCGTTTGAAGTTTGAAGGATACCGTTATGTAGCATTCTCCATTTTGATATTGAGCTCAACTTTGATTGGATTGATTGTATTGATGCTTCTAACAGTGAGGATGATCTGAAGGGAGAAAAAAATGGTATGAATTGGTGATCTTTGATGACTGATGATTCTGCAGTTTCAGCTATTGTCGCTGACTGTGAATATTGCTTAAAAGTCAGCCAGTTCAGTTGAAATGGTGTTGTATGAGCTTCTCCTAAAAGGAGAAGTTAACTCAATAAGAGGCTCAGGTTAATGGCAACTCTTGGATAAAAGCCTCTTTTAACACACCATGAGTAACAGCAGCTGGTTAAATCTGACTCACTGATTAGAAACCAAATTTTGCAGCAGAAAGCTGGTTAATTGTCAGGCAATGCAGTAATCCGTGCTTTGCCAATTGTGATATTGAGCTCAATTTGATCGGATTGGTTATATATTTATATTGATACTTCTCAATTCTCACAGTGAGGATGATATGAATGAAAACTTTGCTAGTAAGAATTGGTAATCTTGGACTGATGATTCTGCAGTTTCAGCTATTGTTGACTGTAAATACTGATGTAGAAGTGTTAGCCAGTTCAACTGAAATGGTGCTATATGAGTTTCTCATGCAAGGTGAAGCTAACTCAACGAGAGGCTCAGGATAATGGCAAATCTTGGATAAACCTGAGTAACAGCAGCTGGCTAATTTGACTGGCGCTAACCAGAAACCAAATTTTGGAGCAGAATCACTTGATGCAAATGTTGGCAGAGCCATCATGTTTGTAAACAGCAAGAGCAAGCTACAACAGAGCTCAGAATAACAGTAACAAACAGCACTGCCTCCATTTGGGGCATGCACAAGTTCTCTATTGACAGAGCCATGTCAGATATATACAAGCTGGCTTTGATATGCTTGAAGATAGGACGCATGTAACCACTAAATAAGTTCTACAACACGACCAGGAGGTTTGTGTCTCCACAACGGTTCAGGCATTTCCAAGAGCTTGAGTCTAAGCATGGAAATGGAGAACTTGGGGGCATAGCTTAATCAGAACAGAGCATTGGCTGAAGGCCGTCGACGAAGCAGCGTTGCGAGTCATTTTATGTGGGAATCATAAATACTGAAGATGACATCCGGAACAATCAGAGGCAGCTTGTTTATGTACATGAACAGCCTTCTGAGGTTCTCTCTTGACACTGTCTCCAAGTCAACCACATCTTGGTCCTCAACATAGATCCATAAGTCACCAGGGTCAGTCTTCTTCAAGTTGTCACGGCAGAATGGACAAGACTGTGATCTTGAATTCCTGCAATAACACAATCCTTTTGTTCAAGCATTGTTTTTTGAACAGATATGTATGGTAGCTGTATGGCAACTCCAGAGTACAAGGACGTGATCCAAGTTTTGCTAACCCAAAAGATATGCATCGGTTGTAAGAAGCCAAGAATAAAGATAAATCATATAGATATGTAATATGAGAAAACCTAATGCACAATACCACAAATGATTTTGTTCCGCAAACATATTGAAACAAAGACAAATAAATTCCAGATATACACTTATACAGTATCAATGTTCGCTAACAAGCTAGGTTGCTCTGCATGATTCCATGACCCTCAACATGATTGATTAGCTAAATAGTTAGCTACAGAAACAACAGATCACCCATGTTTTCATAATCAGGAGTCAAATAACTACACATGATTAGAAACAGGATGCATAAGAACTAAGAAGCAGGAACAAAGACAAGGTCGATATAATCAATAGACTCAACAAAATGCCATTCTCAAAAGATCTTTGGATTATGAGTAGTAGGAGACAGTTCAGAATATGCTTTGATTTGCTAAGCACAGAATGTATAGGCTTCCTACATTTTACAATAGCTGAATATTCAAAATTGTGCTGTTTACTCGCTTCATAAGTATGTATGTGCCCGTTATATCCTGTTTAGTTAAGCTACTGCCTACTGGACATTGATTCATAGCGTCAGAAGGACTTGAACTTAAGCCTCTGAGCATATTGGTAGGGGGCATGTCAACCTGACATTGTTAGCTAATCAACAGCACCACGTTTGAAGGGTCCTAAGCTTCCATGGGACCACGACTCTCAGGGGACGTCCATGGAAGAATAATACAAAACACATCATCTAGCCAATGTTAGTTAATCAATCACATTCATGACAGAGAAGGCTGCAGTTGCACATCACCAGAATGCAGTCACACAAACTACATGCACAGACCAAGAAATTCTGCGTACCAGTCCTGGTAGCATCTGAGGCACATATTATGGGTGCAGTTGGGCAACACCACTTTGCTGTTCATCTCCATGCAAATCCCGCACTCCTCTTCTCTCTCGGCATCAATTTCGGATAAGATGTTTCTTTCATCCTCATCTCTCCTTCTGTACCTCTCCATGCACACGGCCTTCTGCTTTTTGTCCTCCGTATCAGTAATCCCCCTTTGCAGTTGCAGCAGAGAAGGAAATATCACAGCTGTTCCAGCCAACCATATAACAATTCCAATCAATAAAACAATGCAATGAGGAGAATATCTGCATAATTAGACCCTCGGCTAAAGTTACAAGAACATGTTACATTACCGTAGAATTCTTTGATGCTGGCTTTCCTCTCATGGGTAGACATTGTCGTCGTCCCGTCGACATAAACCTACACAATGAGCTACAATTTCAGTAAGAAAAACTCCGAAACGCAAGCACCGAACCGACAAACATACATTGTAACATGCCATTAGACCTTGTAGACGAGGATCCTCAGCAAGCCGAGAGCCCCGGCGAGGCTGCAGTCAGTCCACTGCACCAGGAAGAGGAATATATGCGCCGCGGGGCTATACGAGAGCCGCATCTGCAGGCACGCGCCATCGTACTCCCGGGGAAATTCGGAGGCCCTGCTCATCAGAACACCAAGAAATAAACAAGCAATTAGCATCACTGGGTGGTGGATCACATCACATGTGGCTGGATAGGCACCCTGCCCCCCCTCTCTCTGAATCACACCACTAAAATTCTCCTCCACTTTTCCGCAGGGAATTTAGAACGCTGGATTGCTGGAACACATGGGAGGGAGTAGTGTTCTTTTTAATATGCTAAATGAGCACGCGACAAGATCCCTTCCTGATCTGCCACCGCTCGTGCGCTCGCTAGCTCGCGGATAATGTATCGAACAACTGAGGAGACGCGGCAGAAATCCCACCACCTCACCAGCCAACCCGCGCGGCGCGCCGCGCCGCGGCGTGGTTCGATTACCCACCGATCGATCTCTCACGCCGCACCGGCGCGGCCTCGCCGCCGCCGCCGCCGCGGCAGCTGGAATCGAGAGGGGAAGGGCGACGGGATCGCGGTGGGGAAAGCCGGAGGAGGAGGAGGGAGGAGCTTACAGGGTGTTGGCGTGCTGGATGTCAGCTTCGAGCACCTTGAACGAGTCCTTGTACGCCTTCCGCATCCTCCACCACCGCCACCACCGCCACCGCCTCCACCGCCGCCGCCGACGCCGACGCCGACGCCCTCCTTCTCATCCAACCCCGGGGCAACCCCCCCGCCGCGGCCGGAACCACCCACCCTTGCGCTCGCTCGCTCGCGCGCGCTCAGATTCCTCGTCTCCTCTCCCTTCCTTGCCCTCGCTGGGGGGGTTCGCGATCGCGAGCGTGCGCCGTGCGGTGGGAGGGCGGGAGGGGGGTGGGTGGGTGTGGTGTGGTGTGGTGGCCTTTGAAGAGGGGAGGGGCACGAGAGGGAGGGAGGGGGGGGGGGGGGGGGGG